CGGCCCTGAGGTGCAGTGTGTAAGAGGCAGAGGTGATAAGAGCATACATAGTCACACACACACACTTTTCTCTCCATAGTTGTGAGGACTCTAATTGGCAAATTGTATTCCCTAGCCCCTTCACTTAACCTTAACTATCACAACTAAATACCTAACTAAACCTAACTAACTCTAACTAAACCTAACTAACTCTAATTCTGACCCTATAAACAAATCTAAACAAATCTAAACAAATCTAAACCCTCGAAAATCCCTTTGAAAAAGTGAGAACTGATCAAATGTCCTCACAAGGATGGTATTGACTGAAAATTGGCCCTGAAAACTATAGAAAACCATGTGCACACACACACACACTGTGATCCCAGCTTGTCCTATATGAGAAGTGAGAACTCTGAATTTGGCGTCGGTTCACCCTGAGTTGTAGTTAATGATGTGTGTGTGTGTGTGTGTGTGTGTGTGTGTGTGTGTGTGTGTGTGTGTATGTGAGACACACTCCGGGGCAGAAGAAGAAGATCCCAGCAGGATCTGTGTAGTTTTGTTGTGACGGTTGTGTCTGGAAACTTTGCATCACGTGTGTTTACAACAGTTTCAGTAGCGGGTCAGGACCAACGCTCAGCGTGGACCGGAGTCCGGACCGCCTACACACACACACACACACACACACACACACACACACACACGGTACGTCGGTATTAATGAAAGTAAAACAATATGCTGCATTTTTCAGAATGAAACTGAAACACAAGTGAAATCCACAGAATGAAAAACAGGTCTGACACATGAACAAGTCGTCCTGAGACCTGAACCTGCTGCAGTGAAGTATTTGTACCTTGTTATTTGGCTCCTCTGGTATTTGTAGTTGTAAATATCAGTATAACGTCAGTGTTTATGCTTGATGTGATGATGTAAACACACACACCTGCACCAACGTGAACATCGGACCGAACAGTTTTCCAGAGACAGTTGTTCGGTTCATGAAGTTTTCTTCCACTCGAATCACAAACGTAATAAAAGACGGAGTGTCAGCAGTGAGGGATGATGGGAGTTGTAGTCTTCTCCTCAGTGTTGATGGTTCAGGAGGTTTGTATCTGGATTCTCCTCAGACGTCTCCTCCTCTAAAACAAGCTCATATAACTGTTTTTGAAGTTGGACCGGGTGACGCAGTTATAACATGTTGCTGTTTCAGTTTTTCTCACAACTTTTCATGAACTCTTCATCTGTACTTTCTGTGTTATGACTTGTTCTCTCGACATTTTCTTTGGCTTCGTGATGTCGTTAACGCAAAGTGTTGTTTAAATAAACTGCTCTGGTGTCAGTAAGGAGGAAAAGAGTCACAACAGGGAGGAGAGGAAAGGACAGGTAACGATGGAGAGAAGAGGAGGAGGAAGAGGAGGAGGGCAGGAGGGGGGGGGGAGGGTGAGATGATGAATAAAGAGGAAAAGAGTTTGGAGAGGAGGAGTGAAGGAGAAGACAAATTGATTTGTGGAGGTTGGCCAAGTTCAACAGCTTTAAAGCTGGAGAGATTTCAACACACACACACACACACACACACACACACACACACACACACACACACACACACAGCTGGCAGGTCAGGAATAATAAACGCTCTCAGAGTTTATTTTCTCAGTGATTTGAGCTGAAGGAAGATTTGGACGAACATGACCTGCACAGTCTGAGATTCACCCTGTAGAATAAACACACACTCAAAAGATAACATACACACACAGGAACAGCTGGTAACACACACACACACACACACACACACACACATATAAAGGTATGGATTTCTGTATGAATGGTACAAACTGCCTCTCTCTGTTTATAATATTCACAACGACTTGATCACTGGATTCAAAGATTCAAAGTTCATTTGAATAAAGAAGGTTGCTGGTTTGAATCCCTGTTCTTTCTGTGTGATGTTTGCATGTTCCCCTCGTTTCCGTGGGTTTGCTCAAACTTCCTCACATGCAGATCGAGGTTAGCTGAACGGTTGTTTGTCTGTGTCGGCTCTGAGAGACACTGAGCACCAATGTCAGGTGAAGAAGGTGGAGTGAAGGTGAAGGAGGAGGAGGAGGAGGTGATGAAGATGAACTGCTCGTGGAGGCAGGAGTTTCGAGCTGATAAGAGAGATAGAGTGTGTGTGTGTGTGTGTGTGTGTGTGTGTGTGTGTGTGTTGTGAAATGGAGATCTCATGTTTTGAAACACCGGTGATTCACATTCATTAATCTTGATATTAAAATGATTCTGCTGCGTGTGAGGGATGAGACTCAAACAACAAATGATCAACATGTTGAATGATTCACTGACAGGAGACAACAGACGTCAAATGTCAGAGGTTGGAGACGTCTGTTATCAGTGGGAACCTTTGGGAAACTCATGGTTTGATTTATTCAACATGTTTAGTTTCTGACTGGATTTGAAATCAAACCATTAACGGAGGAATCTCAGTCAGGTGCTGTCACGCTCACCTGATCGCCCTCAGACTCACATGTGCAACGTGCAACTAGACTGTCGCATTTCAAACCCTCCTTCAAACGCGTCCTTCCACGGGGCAGGGAAACGTTCTCCTCCTCTTCAGACCGGACCATCGGGTGTTGGTCTACGTGGCCTATGAAGACTGCTTCCTCTGACGTCCTGCGAGGGATCTACACCCTGAGACAGTTCATGACTTCGGCATCTTAGCGATGTAACAGAAGGGGGAGGGGCCAAAGAGGAAGGAGGGGGTCGTCACATGAAACAGGAAGAAGACAAGAAATCACAAGACGCTCTAAGACTTTAACATTGTAGGTGTTTAAATAAATGTATGTATGTCGGCCATACTGTTCAGAGCTGCAGCTCACAGACAGACGGATGGACAGACACATGCAGACAGACAGAAGACAGAGAGACAGACAGGCCTGACCTCCATCTCTTCTCCATCTGCAGTCGTCTGTATATTCACCACAGTATATATAGACACATATAGACGCACACAGTGCCAGCAGCACCAAGGCCTCCTCCTTCACCTCCATCTGTCTCCTCCTTACCCCCCTCTACATGTCTGATTGACAGCCAGACTCAGGTGGAGAGGGGGGTGGGGTGGTGGGTGTAAGGGGAGGAAGGCAAGAGAGAAAGAGAGGGGGTTGGTTGAAAAGAGCAAGAGAAACAAAGATTCACAGACTGTAAATAGAGATGCACGACCTGAAGTCAAACCATCTTGATCGCCCCCTGGTGTCTGGCTGCAGTATAGGCCATAACCCCTGCCTTCTCCGTGTCAGCAGACGGGACATGAACCGATGAACCTTTGAATTTCATGTTAACTTCACACGTTGAACCATTTTTCACTCCAAACTTGTGACATCAAAAATCCTGCAGGTAACATTCGACTGACAGCGTGGGGGGGGGGGGGGGGGGGAGACACTTTCTGTCTTTGGAGACGATGGTGAAAACAGTTTTCTGCACAGGGAAGCTCAAACATCCAGGGACGCAACAAATTAGGATATAAAAAAAGAGGTAGAGAAGAGAGGGAAGGAAGGTGGAAAGATGCAGGATGAGGAGGAATGGATGAGTGTTGGAGGTATATTTAGGAGTGTGACAGATTGTGTTCATGTGTTTGAGTCTCTCGTTTTATCCGTCTTCTCCCATCAACACCTTTATTGATGGACGAGGAGGAAGAGGAGGAGAGAGACGAAGAGGAGGTGGAAATATTTTTTTACGTCTTCTGTCGTCGTGAATTTCCTGTTTTTTTCTTCTTCCTCCTGATGAAACTTCTGAACGCCTCTGAACCAACACATCACAAGGAAAAAATCAAAGTAGACGTTAAAGGTGCAGTGTGTAGAATTTAGTGACATCTAGTGTTGAAGTGTCATGTTGCAGCTGAACACCCCTCCCCCCATTCACTCCAAACATGAAGAAGAACCTGCGGCAGCTTCAGTCGTCATAAAAACTCAAGAGGTTTTAGTTTGTCCAGTCTGGACTCATGTAAAAAACATGGCGGCCTCCGTAGAGAGGCTCCAGATGTAAATATAAAGTATTTAAATATAAAGGGCCTTTTCTGGGGTAAAGAAAACTACAATTCATACAATTTAGATGAATCGAACTAGTGAAAACATCGTGAGGATTATTCTACGTTAGATTTCTGACAATAGATTCTTTCACCTGAATCTGACACTGGAGCTTTAAATAAATGTTTAAAGATGTTTCTGTGGTTTCAGCTCGTTCTCTTCTCTCTGATGTTTGTTCAAGTGTTTCTCATCAGTTTGGTTTAATCAGTTATTTATCAAATAAAAACAGGCGGAGACGTGATGATTGACAGCTGACACTGACTCCTGATTGGTTTAGAGCGTATACCAGCAGAATTTGACAAAGTTCCCAAATAATAAATGAGTTGAATTCCTTTTAGGAAAGTGTTTGCTATAGAATAATAAAATCTGAACAACTAAAAAATAAAAGCTCTGATAATACACAAGGCTCAGTGAAGATGTGAAAACCGAGTAAATAAAACGAGAACCTGAGGAACCTGGATCGTCACCAGCAGAAAAGTGTTTTCATTTGGGTGAAGTGAGCCTTTAAGAGGGAGTGAAGCATGAAGCAGATTTATGAACTGTCTGTGTTTCTACAACCTCACCTCAACTCTCTCTCTCGCTCTGTCTCCCTCTCTCCCTCTCCCTCTCTCTCTCTCTCTCTGTCTCTCTCATCCTCCCTCTCTCCCTCTCCCTCTCTCTCTCTCTCTCTGTCTCTCTCATCCTTCTCCCTCTCTCTCTCTCTCTCTGTCTCTCTCATCCTTCTTTCTCAACCAGGTCACTTTGAGTTTGAGGAGACGGAGGCGAGCAGGAGACGAGTGTTTCTAACATCCAAAGACTTGATGAGAGTGACCCTCCATGTCAGCAGACTCGTGATGATGGTTTTCGTTTCTTATTTGATGATTTAAAAACAGGGTGAATGGTCATGATTGACAGCTGAGACTGATTTGCAATTGGTCGAGTGCATGTGTGGGCGGGACTTTGATACCGAGGCTCCACTCCCTGCACAGACTCTGACTCCAAGATGGCGGCCTCCATATCTCAGAGGCTTCGGTGTCATGTGTGAGCAGTGGGATCCCTCTCTGAGGCTTATGTGATGTGTAGTTCCTCCAGTATTTAAGTAATGAAGACATGTTCATGTATATTCTAAAAGATTTGTTCTATCGCCCTGATTCAAACCTGGTTACAGGTTAAAGCTTCTTTTATAAAGATTTTCTGAAGCGTCAGTGGAAGAAACAAAGATGAAATGTGGAGAGAAGACAACTTCCTGTTTACACCTCACCAGTTTCTCTCCTTTCTAAACATGTTGTAAATCCTGTGACGCTTTCTGACCGCATAGCTCCTGAAGTCCGAACCTTCAGAGGAGCAGGTGGACCTCACCTGAGATCTGCTAACACCTGAGATCTCTGCCAACACCTGAGATCTGCTAACACCTGAGCAGCTGCTGCAAGCTAACCACCGGAGTCACGGTATCTAACATCACAACTTTAAATCCTTCATCAAGTCATTGTGTCCTCGCGAATATGTACTAATGCTAACATCGCACCTGCGGATGTGATGGAACTCAGCACAGGTGTTCATGCTAGCCGCTATTAGCCGCTGCTAGCCCCCAATAGCCGCAGCTAGCCGCTATTAGCCGCTCCTAGCCGCAGCTAGCCGCTACTAGCTGCTGGTCAGTGATGATGAAGCACACTGAAGCTCTTGCTGAAGCTCAGATAATGTTGTTAAAGACTTGAACATGTTATCAAACGTTTCAGCGTAGTTTGGTGCGTTTGTGTCTTTTTTTAAATTCTCCTTCGAAAGTTGGCTAACCGCTAAAGCTAATCACTGCTAGCTTGCTCAGTTTCTCCCTCTCAGGGTTGTGATGCAGCTGCAGTGAGATTGAGGTGAATTCCTTCATATCATATAATTCATAATTAAGCAGCATCACAGTTCATTAATGTTCAGTGTCGTTAAAACACGATGTTACAGGTAAAGAGTGGTTTAAAAGAGAATTCATAGTATGTTCGTATGTATCATGAGAAATAATTAACCAGTAGATGTTTTCATGTTGTACTGGAGCTGTCACTTCTTATTAAAGCTCCAACTGATTTGACAGGAAACAGTTTATTAGAATATTCACGACCCACCACCTCAGTTAGACGCAGTTTAAAGGTGAAGACCTTTAAACAGAGTCCGTTCTGTTCTTTGTCGTGTGTTATAGAATAAATATTACCTCAGAAAGTCTCATGTGCTCATAGACTGGTTGGTTAGGAACTTTTCCACCTCCTGTTAAATGAAGAAGTCACGATAACTCATCTCTTGTGGTGAAACCTGATTTATTGTCCATATTCTGCATTATAAGATGATTACATGTAGAAACAACAGTAGATGACCTCATGTTCTGAATAGAAGAGGAGAACATAACTGAACTGTTTGTGTAGGTTGATTCTGTGATGCCCGTGAGACTGTGGACGTGTGAGCAGTTTGGACAATGGAAGGATAAGTCCACAGAAGACGTCCGACTGTCCAGCATCAGGTAAGAACACACACACACACACACACACACACTGGCAATAATACCATTTGTCACTTGAGCAGCCAAAGCACAGCACACTGTTGATTTAAATTTTTCTGTCTATTTTCTGTGTGTAGTTTTTGTGACTTGTGTCATCGTAGTTGTGTGTCTGTGTACACGCCCCCTCTATAGCAGGAACAGCACTAAGCTAGCTGTCTCATTAATCAAACATGGAGCTGTCTCCTTCTCAGACATTAGTGCTCGATTAGCTGTTAATGTGGTGACCACTCAGCTCTAATCAGTTCCCTGCTGTAATTAGTGGCCCGTTGAACGTGTTCAGCCTCTACACGAAACAATGAAGTGATGGGAGAAGAAAAACTACATCTGATGACGACCAAAAAAAAAAATCAATAATAATGTAATTAAATTTCAGTGTGCAGACTCTTCAGAGAACGTGAGAGCAAGAATAAATCCAGTTTATATTGGGGTTGTGTGCGAGCGTTTGGCAGGCTGTCAAAGCAAGAAGGGTTTTTTAAAACACTCGTCACACTGCGTCTTTAAATATCAGAGAAAAAATAACCAGCTGAAGCAGAGAAAATAGTGAGATGTGACTCAAGAGCAGGTTTGGTAAAGAAGTCGAAGCTGAAAGCTGTTCATGTTTCAGCTGTGCTCTCATAACTTGTGCTATTTGATATAACACCAATTTTTTTCTGCACTTGTTTATATTCAAACAAAACCCATCAGGCAGCTCAATCCTTGATCTGATGTGACAGAAGAAACCTTGTGAAGGTTCTTCCAAACATCAAATGGAGCTTATCGAGGGCTGGACCAATGCAATCTTACTCTGACACTAAGAAACGTCTGAGGACAACCAGTGAGAGACATTGAGAGGACATCTCTAAATTGTAGCGCGAGTAGTTAACTCACATGTGATGCTTTGAGGAAACGTCTGTAAATGTGTCCACAGCTGGCCTGCATGTGAAGTGTTTAGGGAACCACCACAAACTGAAGTCAGTGACTTTGAGAATGTGTGAGCGACACTGGATATATGTTCACTGACCTTTCAAAACAACTGGACACAACTAACCTACGATTCAGTGATGATGCATTCTTTTTTTTTTTTAAGAATGTCTCTGCACTTTGTTCGAACACTCCAAATCCCATTCACTGTTTTTTAAAAAGGGAACAAAAACACCTCCATCTTTGTTGTTGCTTAGCAACAGAGTCCTGATTTCAAACCATCTGGATGCACACGTACCCAACCTCAGGTGTTGAAACGATGGCCCACGTCAGCCCCGTCTGGAGGCAACGGTTTATCTCTGGCTCAAGGTGGCACTTGAATATCGAACCGACGACTGTGGCAACGCTGCTCATTTGGTCGACCCGCTCTCACTTTGTTTTTATGCAGTGCAGCTGTAGAGGTACTGCCATCCGCACACACACACACACACACACACAC